AGTAATATAATTTTCTTATTTAAAATATAATCTTTAATTTAGTATTTATGTTTTCTTATAATTATGTTATCTTATTAGCTATTTAGTTATTTGTATTTGTAAATATAATAATTATGTTTCTAAACATATTCATATTTTTTGGAAATATTAATTTATATTTTAAAATATTAAATAGATTTCTCAATACATGTAAACTTTTTTCACGTTATAATATTTTTATCATACATTTTTTATATCTTTTTTAAACAAAATAAAAGATTAAACTTCAGCATAATATATAATTTTGCTCTGTACTCAGAAAATATCTTTTTTTTTTATTTTCTCTTTAAGTTGTATAAAATTTTAATATTAACATATTTGTTATAATACAGATTTTTGTTACCATTCACCTTTTTAGAAACAACAAAATTAAGATAGTCATTTGCCAAATTCTTTTGGTATTTACTTTATGTTAATTTTAAAACTCTTCTATGTACTTAGTTAACTACCTCACTTATATATGATGTTTTTACTTTTGTAAGTTTATCAAAATTTGATACTGATTTACATTTTATTTTGAAATAGATCATTTTTGTTAATATTGATTTATGGCTTAAACATTATATATTAAGCTTATACTGATTTACATTTTATTCCTTTTTCTAAGAAATAACAAATTTAAGATAATTAGTTATTTTAATGTTAATTTCACAAATCTGTAATATAGTAAAGTTAACTTATATATAATGTTTTTAATTTTGTAACTTTACCTGATACATATTTATTTTTTATTTTGAAATTATAATTTTGGCAACGTTAACATTTTTTTTAAATAACAAATAAAAAATTATGTATCATGATATGATTGGTTTTTTTAAATTCTATGTGAAAGTTTTCTATGGCTTATAGCCTCAATTTTAAATAGTATAGAATATATATATATATATATATATATACATTACTATTCATTTTTTTTAAGAAATAGTAAAATTAAGATAATTATTTGACTAATTATTTTTGGTAATTATTTTATGTTATTTTCGTAATTATTTTATATATTAAGTTAACTTACATATGATGTTTTATTTTTTTAAGTTTTCCATATTTGATATTGATTTATATTTTATTTT